ATTCCAAATAACACAGATCTACATATTTACAGTGTGCTGTGGTTCATATATTTTAGTTTTTTGGGCGATTTTAATATCAAGAGAATCGAAGAGAGATAGAAGGACGGCTAATATATCTTATTTGAGACAAGTCGGAAATAACATCATTGGCAATTATGCAAATTGAGATAAAAAGCTCCAATTTTCTGAATTGAATAATGGTGTTGTAGAGAATCTGTTGTACGACTTCGCTATATATCACTTTACCATGTACATGGTGCTGATATACACATAGGAAGCTCTCTCGCAGACATTATATGCATAAGAACCTAGAAAATTCCATTACTCCATATTACCCTAAACCTAATCATTGATAGTACCAATGGTCACCAATGGTATGGTTTGAGTGAGTCTGGATTTTTTTTGGCATACATATGAAAGACATTTATGAATTATTTATAATACAAGTGTATGTACAAAATATTGTATAGATAAAATGAACCTTCTAGCACATGAGAGCCCATATATGTACATCAGACCCTTGTATATGTAGATTAATCTATGAAGTCGTACAGCAGACTGCAATATTGGAGAAAACGTCTTGGGACTTTCGCATGAGTTTGGGTTGTTCATCTGCCCTTGTCTATTCATATTTCTACTGCCTAAACAATTTATCCCCCTTTCAATGTTGTAGCTGTGTGGTTGACAGTTTGCTGTCAGCCCGTCCACAGTACTGTGTCAGGGGGAGAGGGTTGGTTTCTAGTATTGAGGAGCAACTTGGCGATACCATCTAAATCAACCCTATAGCCCGAAAAGTCCCAAGGGTTTTGTCCAAGATTGACTGGGTGCGGATTGCGTAGCTGTATGGATACGGTATGGAAAACCCACGACACGGATACGTACATGTTAGAGWGCACGGGCTTCAAGCTGTTATTACCTTAAAACTAGCATAGATAGTTTGACAAATTCTTGACGTAGCTTCGCAGACATTGTTATAAATTTAAAAAATATTCTCTGCTCCTTCAGAGAGAACAATAATTTCATCGTCAGATTGATCAGCGTTGACAGGGACATTATTGTCCTGGGGTTTGGGCGAAMCATCATTACATGTCCCGTCCTCATCGATTTTGACAATACTTAAGTCATTTACACCTGATGAATTTAGTCCATTGACATCACTTTTGCCATGGCTTGAGCTAGGTGTTGCTAGGCTGGTTAACTCTTCGGTAACCGAACATAGCCCGGAGACGTTCCGACCTGTCATTAGCATAAGGAATGGGTCTGGTCGTTCGACATCCGGCGTCATGACGGCGACATTTTTACCCGTTACTATTGCCCGGACGTCCTCGGGCACGTCTGACAGAGCGAGAAGCTGGAGACAAAGGGTCTCAGCTCTAATGAGTGTTTCATTGACGTCAATCTGGTACGCTAAGTCATTGATATACTGAAAAAAAGGAATAATTAGAAATGAAGAAAATGTACTTTAAGAACGAAAAAGATCGGGAAAAACGTTGAATTTATGGAAAAATGGATTATGGATGGATGACAGGAGAAAGGAAKAAAATAAGAAGTAATGAGAAAAAAAGGAAACGAAGAGAAGAGCGAAGAAATTCAGAAGAGAAGGGATGAGAAAGAAAGTGTAAGGAAGCAAGGAAGGCAGCAGATTCGTACGCTGTCGATACTCTTCGTACCCATTGCGCGCCGTCCAAAAAGCGAGAGAAACGACTGGGTACGTGTCTATGAGAACGCTGTTGTCTATGAGAGAAACATGAGTCGGAGATATTGTTAAAAAGAGGAAGAAAAAGTTGGGAGAAATGACATTACAAGGAAACGAAGGGAGAGAGGAAGACAGAAAGAAAAGGATCAAAATGGAAAACAAAGAAAGGCAGAATAAAGGATGAACAAAACATGAGCTAAGACGCAATGCAAAACTTACTTTGAGGATTTCGTTGAATCCAAACCCCATCTCCATAATAATCTGCCTGTGGTTATCCAAAATTGCCAGACAAATAAACAAATGGAAATTTGGCGATAAGTTTTGCGTCCACAGTGTCTGGTAAAAAAAATGCGTTAAAATAGGATTTTAAGCTTCGTTAATTAGCTTTCATTCATTAATAACTACAAGCATTAGTTTTTTAAGACCTTTTTAAGATCCAAACGTTTTTAATCAGGCGCGTAGCGTGGACTTTTTGGCTAATACGGATATGGCAGATGCAAGGTACCGCGACACATATTTTGGATTGGGGGGGCCTAACGACCTCCGACGGTGGGGGTATTAAGGGGGGTCGGGGGTCCTCCCCCAGGAAATTTTGAAATAATAACTATTAGAAATGCGATTAATCAGCGTTTTGAGAGGCATCGAGAGCTTATAAAAGGCACCAAATCCGGAAAATKTTAATATTTCCTTCCCACTAATACGCACGTGCGTATATGCGTAAGTTAGTAGAGTTTTTTTGCATGTCTTATTATAAAGGCCCAATCTTACCTCCCATAGCACCATAATATTGTCGAAGATAAATTCTCTCTTGAAGTTGATAATAAGCCAACGAAAACAGAAGTAAAGATTTCCTGAGTCATGCTCCTCTGAGAAAAAAAACACAAATTTTTTGTGAAACAATTATCCACATATTTATTTCAGTATTCTAGTGAAAACAGCCATTTTCCCATTTATAATTCTCATTTCTTTGTGAAGAAAAGTAGATGGATAGATAGATACTGAAAGAAAACAACTCATTATCTATTCCCTTACCTAAGTAGCTATAAAATAAAGGGTCAATAAATTTTAAAAGGATTGTCAGTTGGTGTAGTTGCATCTTCATGCCCTCTTGATTCTCATCAAAGTTATGTGCCTGAAACAACAATAAATTAACATAAGCAAAGATAGAGACCAAAATGCATATTTAAAACTCATTTATTCATTATCTTTACCAGTTTCTTCATCATTCCTACAAAGCACCAGAACGCATCCCCTTCGTTATCCATTATAAACAAAACTGGCGAGAGCAGGTCACTCATGCCTTGGACGTAGCCTGTCAGTCAAAGGAATGAAATGGTTGCATTATACAATGGATGTAAAAGTATYAACAATTACACTGTTCTTGGAATTGATCATTTTCARTCATTACACAAGAATCAAAAGATAAGAGACCGGCAGCCATTTTGGAGGAACGAACAATAGATACACTGAGAAATCCTTTGTTGGACTTCATCCAAGATGACAAAGAATAGAGATAATCCTAATTCCTATTCATGTAAAGATCATTTTAGATTTGAGATCAATAGACTTCTTTATGGTTCCTTGCTCCATCTTGRAAGGTAGCYGTGCCTTTGCACAGAAGCGAGACAACCGTTGATCATGCAATGATAGAAACCTTCTTTCACAMCTACAGACRATTATTCACAACTAGGATCTATTATTGCACACTCAATGTTTGTCTTGGTKCTATGCAAAGGCACAGCTACCTTTCAAGATGSCGCMGGGTGCCTTATCAAGAGGGGTGATCATATCATGGTTGGGTGTGTTACACTTACCAAGATCAAAGTTATACATGCAGTATGTCATCAGAACATTGTACAACTTTTTGACATTTTTGTTTTCTGTCTCTTGTTCAGCATAGTAAGGATGTAAGCGATCTGTTCTTGTAACATCTTTATCTATAATTCACAATTTACAGTTGGTAACATCAAACTTTTGAGCTTTGTTCTACACCCCTCCCTGGTCAAAAATCAGGGGGAGGGGATAAGGAACATTACATGCAAAGTCTATATGTCTAGTATTGATAAATATGACATTTGAATTTATCAGAAGGAGTGGTGTCCTTAGCCTCCTCCACAGGCAACTCTTTTTTCCTACTTTGGGCTTCCTTTGTAACGGTCATAATGGCCGTTAGGGACTAGTAACGAGCCTCGCCCCCATTCTCCCTCTTTTGACTCCTCAAAAAGACAGGAAGCCGTGATTCTTAGTGATGCCTGCRGAGGAGGCTATGGTGTCCTAAACAGGTAACTTCATTTTACTGTTTTGGGATCCCTTTATCATCCAACCAGTCTCCCTCAAAGTCAGGAAGACCAAGAGTAGAAAGGGCATGAAGAAAGATGTCATTTTTGTGATCATCAAAGAAGTAAACAATTAGTGCACCAAGTACAAGTATTTATTTAACAAACCACAACAGAATATGACAGCAATCTTACCTACAAGATGCTTCCGGTCTCTGAATTCTGAGAATTGTTTTTCTTGTTTTGCTGATATTGTTGTCCACTGCATCTTCATGGTCCGATACTCTTCCCTATTGATAATATATTAACATATTTTAAGGGTTGGCCTTTCGAGAAAATACCTGGTAACAAGCCTCATAGTGCAGCTTTTGGCTTCATGAAAATCGTATACATGTAGTCTTCAGGCCATTCAGTATATTAAATGCCCCCAAATGGCTTGCCTCTTACGCGAGGATAGGGATAAGACATTGGTATTATCTAGAAAAGAGACTTACTCTCTAGCCTTGAATAATGTATGTCTTGACTTTAACGTGCAACCATACTTATAGTAACCAAGCAAATATTTCCAAACTTCTTTTCTCAGAGTCTTCTCGATGCCCTTGAAAAGAAGGCAATATTTTCAATACTGACATTGTACATGTATGACGTATAATTATCACTATCAATTACTCACATCTGGAAAAAATATCTATAGCACAATGCCATTACTTTATATTAAAGTGTCCTGGTTTTCTTACTATAAAATGAGGAAGCTACCTACCCCTCTGAATATTGTACTGTGCAGCTTTTTGATATTGATAACTCGGCCATTGTTGTCTAGCAAAGATTGCCACTGTTCTTGAGTTAAGCATTCCCCTCTTTCAACTTTAGGGACAGGGCCAAGGCTTCTCTGAAAATATTATTGGGTTACTTACAATGAAACTAAATTGAACTGAACAAAATGAAAAATACTCATTAATAATTTAATGCAATCTTTTTAAAGATTTCATAGGGCAGTTTCATAGCATCAAGTAGTGCTGCAACAAACAGTCTGCTTTTTATTAGCCTCCTATTTTTTTGGGAGTCTGGAGGAGGAAACAAGAGTTGCCTAGGGAGGAGGATGCCTTTTATCACTAGTTATAGATGTTATAATAATTCTTCTTACTCTTGGTGGGACAGGTTGAGATGGGCAGGCAACTGCCTCTCCTAAGTCCTCAAACTCTGCGTCCTTTCTTGGTGTATATCTTACTGCAGGTCTGTCAGCTGGGGTATCAACTGTTGGTGTTGCTTGTATGACATCCATTGTGTCTCTGAAGTATTTTGTGACTTTAGACAGAGCATCCATGCCATCATAGTAGGCAGTGTTGATGAATCGCTAGATATATAATTTATATTATAATTACATGTAACTACATTTTAAATAAACTAATACAAATTTTAATATGATTTGTTATTACTAGTATTTTTTACAGCCTCATGGACTATCAACTCCTAGTCCAATTGACCAAACAGTCTAATTGTCATGAAGGTCAATCACTTAATCAGACATTTTGCCATCAAAATCACACAGTTAGCCAGACAACAAAATCACAGAAAGTTAGCCAAATACTTTTCTGTCYAAGACAAACTTTAGCCAGGCACTTGACCACAASACAATTACTGTTAATTATCTAGCAGTGGCTGACATTGTAAACTTACCGATAAATATGACGATGATGGTCCTCTGTCATTAAAMAGCTGCAACTGGTCCAGTGACATCCGTAATGCTTCATTTTCTTGATCGGCGACAACAAACAGCTTGTAGTTTGTTGGTGATCTATAATATCAATAAGAAAATGATTAAAAAGTTGAATAATAATACTAGTATAAAGATGGTCATGAAATACATGTATGGTGAATGCAATGCACAATTAATTTTTCAACTTTTTACAGTGACTGTTATTAAAATGACCTTATTTCATTTGCAAGTATGAAACAGCCTTTTTGTCTTAAGAGTCAGGATTGGTTAGCGATTGGATAGACCAATTCCCAAAACATTTTCCCCAGGAAGCACTTTATAAAGCTTTCTACTAAGTRAATATTCACCAAAATAGTAGTCAAACTTGTACCTTGTCAACCAAACATATCTTTGTAAGTTTTGTATAAGATTTTGGATGCCTCCAGAGTGAAAGTGCAAAGCYGGCAATGTAGTACTATCCTTTAATATGAACACAACATAAGACCAGGCAAGTTTAGGGTCTGAGCGCCGAATGGAGTGAAGTTCATTAATGTTGAAGTGAATGGCATATTTGGACTTTTCTTGATTTTTCTGTTCATCATCTTGGTCTGAAAGAGATCAGTCTTTTTAATCAATATCAAAGATTCATAGTGGCACAGCCTGCATGCAGCTGAAACCRTTGTTTCAGCTGAACACAGGCTACAGAGGCTCAGCAAGGCTTTTTGTCAAGAAATATGAATRGSMWTWARKT